TTTCTGTGTCTGTGTCTCTGTGTGCATTGTCCTCAAGCAGGAATCAAAAGCTTGCACCAGATGCACCAAAATGCACGCTCAGCAAGAGTCCAATGTGTTTCTGATTCCCTCTTTAGCCCGTAAATACCCAGCGCCTCAGCAGATCCGATGACGCCCTGCCATTACAGAGGGCAGACGATTTATGGCGTGCGATCTGTGTATTCTCTGCAGTTGTGTTCTCATGCATGGACACACACGGGCTGTGCAAACATTTGCAGCTGTGATTCTAAACTGAATCGATGCATCGATATGGAAGAATAACCCGTTCTTTCCTGTCCTGCAGGTGGCTCCCCTTTCTGGAAGTCTAAATGGAGACCTCCTCATGTCCTCCGGGTCCACCGACTTGCCTCCGAAGCCGCTGGTGCGCGGCAGCATGTCCGTGGCACAAGCCGACTACCCGGAGCGTCCCGAGGTGATAGTGCGACGTGAGACGGGCTCCTCAACTTTGCCGCTAAAGACGGAGGTGCCGCTCCATCTCTTCAGCACCACCAACCAGCTGCACAAGCCGGTCGGGGTTCAGCAGCAGATCCCCACCAAGCTGGCAGCGATCAACAGCAGCAAAGGGAAAGGAAGCAAGAGCGGCAAAGCTTCGCATCGCACCGACAGCACCGGTGAGGCGTCGCGATTGTGACCGCTCATCTTGCAGACTTGATATTAAATGGCCACAGGTGTAAACACTATACAGTGCAGTCGTTTTAGAAAGGTACCAAAGAAGGTGATAACGGTGCGGGTCGTCTTTTGCTCACACTCGTGAGAGACTCTTTACTCAAAGCAGTTTGTAAAGCTCTTTTTTAGCAAAGCACTCTGGATGTTGGATGTTTAAGCCTCTCCTCCTGTAGGTGATGTTAGTCAGTGCAGCAGACTCTATTAACATGGATTTTTCTCCCCCACTTCTTGCCTGACCTGCGCTCTGATCAGTCTCACTGGCTCAGGCTCATCAAACAGTGACCTCGTCTAATCTGATCTCTCTGCTCCCCCTCCCTCGGTCTCCCCGCAGCCTCGCTGGACATGAAGCAGGTGCTCCCGCTGAAGCTTTCCACCAAAGAGGACAACGCCCACAAGGTCAAGCGCTCCGTCAGCCCCCACCAGCAGGTCCCGATATTGGCCCCTCCTCAGTCGCACAGCCAGCATCACCACGCAGGTATCGCTGCACACGCGCACGTGCACGCGCTCGCTCAATCAGACGAACTCAAACACAATCTCTGTCTTTGCTGCATTATTAATCTTGGTTCTCATAGAGGCAAACAAAAGAGTTGCGTTCTCCACCTGGGCAAACCTGACCCCACCCAGTCACATTCCTCTCTGCATGCCCAGCCTCACCCTGTGTAAACACCGATCAGTTTCATGTATGATTAATGTCAATGTGCTGCTGACACAGACGTTTTAATCCCGTCCTCTCTGCTGCAGCTAACAAAGAAAACAGCGCTGGCAGCATTTTATGCGACTACATTCCTGTATGAGTAAACCCGCCTGCACCGAGCTGCTGTCAATAACTGTTTGCAATAATTCTTTGTTCTCT